ATATCGTGCATATGTATGTATTTATAGCAAAAAAATTTATTTGATCAAAAATGGCTGTTAGGCGCCTTGGCCAATGGTAAAGTTAATTTACCACCTCTGCATGGTGTTAAGTCATGCAGAGTCCGCAAAAGGCTCCGGAAGCATTGTCCGAAGGACGAAGATATATGGAATGGCACATAATTGCGGCAGCAGCATTTTTAACGCCAACGGTTTTCGGTTTATTTAAATTTATTTTAATTTTTACCGCTCAGCGAGGGCGATACATTGTTGATTGCAATAATTTCTTTTATTCTCACAAATTTGCAAATGCTTTTACCGATTTTTATGTACCAAACAAATAAAAATATTTTGATGAAAATTTCCAAATCAGAATGACAGTTAACAGAAGCCGTCCTCAGCCGCAATTGTGTTTACTCGGACGAATTTCCCTGCGGTAACTGAACAGTTGTTAACTTACCGTCGACCGCTTTACCGTCATCCGCTCTAATGCTGGGTAGAGCTTCAGACTAGACCGAGCAACCTTTGAACTGCCATCAAATTACAAATTAATAAAGTTTTATTACATGGCAATTGAGACGTCCATGTGCAAAAATTTCATAAATTTAATGCACATGGAACTGTTCATAGCATGAATTTAGGCGATTGGTGTTAGTAGTCGCACCTAAACACGGGATGTGACTTATCAGACATATTACAACTGGCGACAAATGCAAAAAAAAAACACGAAACAATATACTCGCGAAACTATGGCCCCAATATAGTAAAAATAGCTTAATCGAGCAAGGTTATCAGAGTCACCACTAGTGATCATGGGCATATTAGTGTCCGTAACAATCAAGAAATGGTATAAAAATCGTTCAAGTCATATTCAAGACATTAATTCTATCGTATGTTATGAAACTTCTCAGACCGATGCTCTTAAATACCTACAGCTTTATTACTTCTACGAAATTTCACAGAGTAAAATAAAGTGTTACTTGGTTTCGCCACAATTTTCGCACACTAATTTTTTTGCACCCACCTCGCTAGTTTCATTAATTTACCATGTCTCTCAGCTCATTATTATTCGTCATTTATTCCTTTCAGCTGCGCGTCCATAAGTCAGTTTGGAACTCAGCATTTTATCATCACATCACAAACTTAACCACCACTGTCACTTTGCATACCAAAACACCCTCTGGCCCCTGATGACTTCCAGCGCTTCCAAGAACAACAATAAAATGCCCCATTTCGCTATTTCACAACTTGTCACTTTGTCAAAACTTTGGTGCATTGTAGTATGCGTTTAGTTTTTTGTTTTCTCCTCCTCTGTAACGCGCGCCTGTGCATTTTTGCTTCATGCTTTAAAACTCACCCTTTTACTGCTGCCCACTTTTGGTTTTTTATTACCATCATCTACGAGGACGTCACCCGCTAATGAGCTGCAAAACTATTCTGTACGCGCTTTCGCATTTTCGATGAATTCCAATTAAGCTTCTTGGCATTTTAATTGATTTAAAGTAAAAGTTCTGTAGCTACTTAGGTACTTTGCAGCAGATAGCGAGCCACTGGGCTGCAATAATAGAGCGCACAACTTTGGCGGTCACAGTAGTCAACTAGGACAGCACGGCAGTAATCAGCTACCAGCTCAGCTGTTAGTCTACCAAAGAAAGAGTCTTACCTTGTAGTGAATTTTTTCTTTAGCAAAATTCTGTAGTCAATCGATTGTCCATTCACCAAATTTTTAAAATCGGACAATAATCAAGTCCACATCACATGTAACGGTTATTTAGAGAAATACGAAATCTTCGATAAATCAGTAAATATTAACTCTAGCTAATTTATTAAAAATTGATGTTTGCAATAATTCTTAGCAACAAATACGTTTATGATAAAATTTTGGGAAATGGGCGTTGCACCGCCATATACGACCTCCAGAGTTGTTAAAGAATGCAGTCTTCGTTACTTTAAGTCGTTGGAGTCACATTCACTGACTAACGCTTTTTAACTGCAGCCCATCAATTACATGTTTGACTAAAGACTGCAAAGTGTAAGTCATTAGTATTTTCTGTTACTCATGACTAATTAGTCATTTTTGCAGTCTGAGGTGAATAATGAAAATCAAAAGCAATCTTCTTCATAGAATTATATTACTAATTTGGTTAGAAAATAAATGGGGAAAAAAGCTCAATTAAAACTTCAGTGTTATATAAAATATTTAGAAAATTTCAATGAATTCCATTAACTTCCAATGAAATAAATTTGTATTTATTATATGTATGTACATAATATGTACATATGTATGTAAATGAAAAAATAACAAAGTGCATGAGAACAAAATGAAAAAACAACAAAGTGCATAGAATGCTTTTCGTTTAAAATATTATGCTTACGCCCTCCGCATTCACGTAAGGTAAAAGTTGGATCAGCCACGAAATCTTCGGAGGAAAAATCTCTTATTATGGAAGACATTTTTCATATACTTAAGTATTTTCTTTTTGTAAAATAAGAACGGTTTAAACGCAAACTAGTCTTTTCTGCTTGATTATTTTATTGAAAATGAAAAAATTTACATAAACATAGGTCAATTCAATACATACAAAATATCATTTACTACTTATGTATGCGCAAATCATATTGCTACAGTTGGGATGTAGATCAGTATAAAATCTAACAAATTCCCCCTCAGTCCAAATTTAATTTGGACATTCTAAACGAAAGACTTACGACACGATTTTTATTTTTTATACCCGAGCGCACTTGTGCACAAGGGTATTATAACTTTGTTCACATAACGGTTGTTTGTAACAGGCAAAACGAATCGAGATAGATATATACAAATATATACATAAATGATCAGAATGAAAAGAGAAATCGATTAAGCGGTGACTGTCTGTCCGTCCGTCCGTCCGTCCGTCCGTCCGTCCGTCCGTCCGTCCGTCCGTCTGTGCACACGATAACTCGAGTAAAAATTGAGATATCTTAACGAAACTTCGTACATGCACTTCTATTGGGCGTGGGACGGATGGTATTGAAAATGGGCGAAATCGGACAATAACCACGCCTACCTCCCATATAACGGTAATTTTCAGAAATACGAAAACTGCGATATTTTAGTAACTACTGAAGATAATTCACTCAAAATTGACATTTAGAATAACTTTTAGACGAGAAATAAGAATACTAAAAATTTTTGAAAAATGGGCGTAGCCACGCCTACTTATGGTTACATGTGTATATCCTGGTAACCGCTGCACCAATTTCTTCCAAACCTGGCACAGTTGTTGGTCCTGCTACAACATACCAAATAGCCGAAAATTTTTAAAATCGGACAATAACCACGCCCACATCCCATATAACGGTAATTTAGAAAAATACGAAATCCTCGATAAATCAGTAAATATTAAAGCTAATTTATTCAAAATTGATGGTTGCAACAATTTTTTACCAAGAAATACGCTTATGATACAATTTTGGAAAATGGGCGTGGCACCGCCCACTTATGATCACATATATGTATCTCGCTAACCGTTCTAGCAATTTGAACCAAACTCGGTACGGTTATTGTAAAAGCAAACCGTTGAAAATTATTGAAATCGGACTAAAATTACGGCCGCTTTTCATATAACGGTAAATTTCAGAAATGCTTGAAATTTCAATATTTCGAAATTTAAGGATGCTAGTTTACTTAATATTTATACACCCGCTTATCATGTAGCGGTAGCTTTCGGAAAGGTGGAAAACATATATTTAATACTTGCGCCGGGTATTTAATGTTCGGCTCCGCCCGAACTTAGACTTTCTTACTTGTTTTGTTTTTCTTTTTTTTCACAGAAAGTGAAAAATTGTTCCAGAAATGGACAGTTCACCCTAACAATGAAAAGTTAAAATGATCAAGACTTTTCCTAGCTTAGAAATAAAAGTCAGGGTTTCCAATGAAAGGATTTATCATCTCAACACGCGGGCGTCTCTCTCATTCTTAACATTAAGTTCTCAAAACTTTTGATTTCGCTTTGTTCTCTAGCAGAACGTTTCCCAGATTTTTTTTTTCATATTTTATCCTCCTTGAACATATCTCGGTACTTTCGTTCTCATTCTGTTCTTCTTAAGAACGTTCCCTAGAGTTTTGTTCACATTTTTTGACACTTCCTTTTGTTTTCATGCATAAATAAACCAAAACTGGAATGCGTTCTCGGTCCCAGAAAATAATTCAAAGTATTGGAAAAAAATGCATTCCAATGGCTGAAATCAAGTGACTAACAAGAAATGAATAAAAAAGTGATTTATGAATCATAAATCAAAAAAAAAAAAAAGAATAAAGACTAATTTTTTTTAGTCTTAGTCAGGACTAACAAAAAATGATTGCAATCACTCGGGACTTCAATCAAATGAACAATTTAGTTAAAAATTCATTGACCACATTTGTGTATCTCGGTAACCGTTCGATCAATTTCTACCATACTCGGAATGATTATTGTACTTGCCACTTAAAAGCAAAATATTGAAAATTATTGTAATCGGACTAAAATTGCGCCCACTTTTCATATAACGGTAAATTTCAGAAATGCTTGAAACTTTGATATTTCGAAATTTAAGGACGCTAATTTACTCAAAATTTATACAAACAACATTCCCTTGAAAAGAAGTAACATTATTATAGAATTTTGGAAAATGGGCGCGATACTGCCCACATATAACTATATAAGTTTATCGAAGATGTTTGAAATAGGGATAAAATCACCCCTGCTTACCACGTAGCTATAGTTTTCGGAAAGGTGAAGAAAACTATATTTAATAATTGCGCCAGGTGTCTAATGTTCGGTTCCACCCGAACTTAGGGGGTTTTTACTTGTTTCATCGTGTTTTCTCACATTTACTGAAGTAGCCTTTTCCAAGAAAGTAGCTGCGTCGAGTTGAGGGAAACATTGATGAGTTTATTTTGGTCATTTTTTGATCCATTTTATTTTAATGTATTTATCACAGTTTTTGTAAACCGTTGTTTTCTTCTTCTTTGCTTACAGCGTCGATACGCGCGACTCGAGCTACACAGAAGGCACTCACTGGTCCGATGAATTTTATCGCGATCGTTTGTCCTTCACCGTGGAAGGAGGTACAGGAACATTGGAAATTGTGAAAACGCGGCCGGAGGATACTGGCGAGTACCGTTGTCGAGTCGACTTTCAAAAGAGTCCGACGCGCAACTCGAAAGTGAATTTAACTGTCATAAGTAAGTGTTGCTATATATAGTATATATGTATGTGTATTAGGGTGGTTCAAAACTAGTAAAGTCGGAATTGTAATGCTCTCACTCCCTAGGACTTTTCTTTATCGAAAAAAGTATACCACAATTTTTTATTTTGAAATCAAAAAATATTTAGAGGTCGCTCAAAGCGCTCAAGTTATTCAGGTATTTTTAAATGGAAAAAAACTTTCGTAGAAATGGTATAGAATTCTTGAAATCGATAGTTTTCGATCGGAAAGCTCTGGTTCTCTTCAGGCGACTTTTAGTAATAATACCCAATTGATTATTTAACCATTTATACCAACGATTTTTGGTTTTTGTGGATGTGTGGAGGGCCTATAAATTATAGCTGCGATGAAAAAATTCACTAAATAAAAAATTGGATATTATTACTGGAAATCTCTTTCAGAGAAACAAAGTTTTTCGTTAGAAAAATATTGATTTTTAAGAATTCTGGACCATTTCTACGAAAGGTGGTTTTTTCCCCATATAAAATATATGGAAAACTTTGGACGCTTTGAGCGACCTCTATATATCTTTTGATTTCAAAATACAAAAATAGGGGTATACTTTTTTCAGTACAGAACAATCCTAGGGGGTGGTGAGAGCATACAAATTCAGACTTTACTTTTTCACATGCATTTTGCACCACCCTAATGTCTATACATACATAGTTTGTAGACGCTGACTAAAATGTATTTGAAAATAAAATTAAGTTTGGACAAGAACGAACTTAATGCCGTTGTGTTGTAGCAATTTTGATTATTCAAATGTCAGTGTATTTTTTTCATTTCCTGCTCTTGCGCCATTTTCCTTTCCATTCCGTAAAAGCCTAGAGGCACAGTATTATGCGGACATTTTATATCAGTATGGTTGACAGTTAGCACTTAGCAGAGCAACAGTTTAATGTGTGTGAAACTGAAATAAAGTGTAATGATAAGATAAATAAGATTTATACAGCTAATTGTAAATTGTAAATTAAGTTGAGTACTGAAATTAAATTGAATTAGAATTTAAGCTAAATGTGTAAATAAACAAAATTGTTTAAGGCCCACTCATTTAACTAAAAATTTCAATTGTAGGTAGGGTCGAGTACAACATGAAAATAGGTTTCTTGTATTTCCTGACACTCCATTTTTTAATTAAAAAAAAAAAAAAAAAACGTTATTTTATGACTGGGTGCACTTAAATATCTATTAACAAAGTTATTGGTAGATATTTTTAGGGTTTCGTAGATTTTTTTCAAGTGGATGGTAGTATTGTTTTCGTCGTTTCGTGGCAACCCTGTGTATAACAATATATTTCTAGACTAAGCTTCGGTTAAAATTAAAAACCCCTATTTTCCTAAAAAAAAAAATTAAACTTGACCATCGCTAATTTCAAAAATTTCTATAAAAGTTGCCAAATATGTAGTATCTAAATAAAATAGGGCTCATATACACCCAAGTTTTCCAAGATTTTCCTGGTTTTAGACAAATTGTCCTGGTGTCCTGGTCCATACTTAAATTGTCCTGGTTATTTAATGAAGGTCAACGCAGACACCAATTTCATTTTTTGCAGATTTTCGCTATTAAAAAAGGGTTAAGCGTTTTGATATTAGAAATCGGAAATCGACAACGGAACGTTTTTTCTAATAAATATGTTGAATAATATCTGGCGAGGTTACATTGTTTCTGTTTAGTTTTTTTTTTTCGTTCTTTATATCTTCAGACAAATGTCAAAAAAGGGCAGGTTCCTGGACATGTACACAGCTGAGGGGTGATAAATACTATCCAGTAGATAATATTAGGAGGTAAAATTTCATCCAAAAGGCCTGCTGAAAGTCACTTCTTTCTCGTACGCGTTAAAATATTTGACGGCGAAGAAAGACGCGTAAACTTATTCTCGCGGTTAACTATGTTTCCGAGGGTAACAGTTTTTAGATTCCCTAAAGAGTTTTTGGGGAATGATGCTAAAGTGACAGTCCTTGTCCAGGTAAAAATCTATGTTTACGCGTCTTTCTTCGCCGTCAACCAGGTTTCACGTATTTTTTCGCCGAAGTTTTTCTTAAGCGTCTTTCTCCGTAAAAACTTGTATACGCGTCTTCTTTCGCCGTCAAAACACTAGCGCGCCCTTATTCGAGAGTAATGGCGAAATGTACTTTTAGATTAGGCCTGTCATAAGCCTGAATTCCATCGTCCATGACACTTGTCATCCAAATCAAAAACGAAGATTCAAGCGAAAATGGTGTCAATATTTTCCTGATACATACTTAAGTACAGATGCTTCGGTTCTGGCATTGCATTATTTTGAAGTAATTTGTGGTATGATAAGCAATGTTGTTTTGTGGCACAATCCGCAGAGGTGAATGATTGTGTATGAAACCCTAAACTTTTGGAATTTTGTTAATAATAAAATAACAAATTTGTCTTTACTATTCGCGGAACTTGGAAACATATTTGTCGCCTTTAACGTGGTATTAACTACTTGCCTTGGATTCATTAGAAAATTTTCTCATATCGCTAGCTTGGAGTGAAAAGTTGTCCCAATTTAAAAATTGTTCAGGAGAGGAAAAAATTCTCATAGCCATTAGCAACCTTTCATTCTTATCTAGCAATATTCTACAATGCGCTCCATGATCATTTTTTTCCATTAGGTACATATGTATATGCATAACCAGAAGATAATTTAGGTAGGCTATCCTAAGTGAAGCCATTCTCAAGGACTTACCCAATAAAGGCTAAAACTGTGTTTCTGTGCCCCCTCCTAGAAACGATTTTCCTATTTACAACTTACGCGAGTGTACTTAAGTAAACATATCGTCACTATACACGAATAAGCGCGCTAGTGTTTTGACGGCGAAAAAGACGCCAAAAAGAATTTTACGAAAAAATACGCTTAAGAAAAACTTCGGCGAAGAGAGACGCGTAAACATAGATTCAAACCTGGACAAGGACTGTCACTTCATCATCATTCCCGGAAAACTCTTTACGCAAACATAGTTAACCGCGAAAATAAGTTTACGCATCTTTCTTCGCCGTCAAATATTTTAACGCCACCTTTTTCGCTTGCAACTATGTTCAGAGTCTTCCTTCGCTAAAGTTTTTTATGGGCCTTTTTTCGCTGTCAACTTTTGAGCTCGCGCCTTTTTTCGCGTCTAGTGACGATTTAGTTTCGAATAAATTTATACCCCACCTAATGCAATTGCATACAAGTAGTTGAAATTAAGCAGTTTAAGCAGAAATACGACCTTAAATATATTTGTGTGTATGTGCCGGAATTTCAGATTTTCTAACCAGTGCGGCAAAGAAATCCACTGTCAGAATTAGAAAATTCAAAATGGCGAATCCAATATGGCGTCTGGTAAATTTCTAGCTTTTTAATTTGGTGTCTTAGAAAGACTTTGAGAATAATATAACTTAGCTTAGCTAATATTCCCCGTCATAACGCTGAATCAAAAAACTTATTATTAAATCTGCTTTAAGTATTTATTACCAAAATGTAAGAGACTTAAATACAAAATTAACGAACTTATACCTTAAAGGCCTTGAATGTAATTATAATATCCTTTCTTTTACTGAAACTTGGCTGAAACCTCACATTTTCAATTCAGAGATTCTTCCAAATAATTATCATATCTATAGACAAGATAGGGAGGACAGAATCGGCGGTGGCGTACTCTTCGCTGTAGACTCTTCAATACCATCTGAAGAAGTTAGTTTTCCACACATCGATTCAGTAGAATTCAAATGCATTCGTGTACAGGCTGGAAAAGGGTCTGTTTACTTAGCTCTATGCTATATCCCTCCCCGATCTGACACATTGGTGTATTCACGACTCATCTCTTTACTGAAATCAGTTAATTTGCTGACTAAATCCTGTGATTCAATGATTGTGTTGGGTGATTTTAATTTACCAAGCATATCATGGAACATCATTGACAATGATATCGTACCTTTCGCGTCTAGTGCGTGCAACAACGTACGTGGCTTAACTCTGCCTAACTCACGTTAATGTACAATGTGCAGTTGACGGGACGTGTAGCTTTCCTTCTTGCATGTATTTTGAAAAGTACCCTTAAAGAACAGGTGTGAGAGTCTAGTAGGGAATATGCTGGCAGTCTGTTATGACTGCAACTTTTCTTCGTACTGCTTTAAATCCCTGTCCAGCTATGGTCACTGCCTTCTCCCATTTCTTCGTATTCTGACCTTCTCGTTATGTCAACAATAAGGATAGGGATAGCTGGTTTAACAGTATAAGTATGCCTCCACCTTTGGCTGCAGTTATCTTAACATTACTTTACCTTCCAAGTCTCGAGCCGCGACGAAATCGATTAGCCTTAGTCCGTTACTACTAATTTTAAGGTCATAAAGATATACTGCTTTACGTCTAAATTCGGTGAATTTTTTAGCGCACTCACAAATATAGGTACAACTTTTTCATATACCTGTTACTTTAAATTTTTTCCTTCCCAAGAGCTTTCTCGGCGTAATGAAGAATTTATAAAAAAAAAGTTTAATATTTCGCTAAATTGTGCACGCAAATTGAGCATAAACATCACTTCACTCCCATTCTCTTTTTGATTTAAATTCCTTTCAACCTGTCAGTTGCTTCTCTTAAAAGAAAAAATATTGCATTCATTTCATTTGTATAGTGAAATAAGTTGGCTTCTGATACAACAACTAAACTTAAATAAATACACATTTCAAAGCAACAGATTCGTTCTTGGAGGTCACAAAGATGGTAAAATAAACTTTTATTGGTCAAAATAAAATATGCAAAAATTTAATACAACCCAGTTTTCATGTACGAATATGTAGTGGCATATTTACTTCCTGAAGTATCTACATATATAACTATGTATGTGTGTCTGTTTACACAAATAGTATGCATGTACGCACCTGTACATCTTTGCGTAGATGAATTACCTACGACCAGCATTTTTGCACTTTTCGTTAGAACCAAATTACAAACTTTTGTGCTGGCTTACAAGGGTGCATACGTCT